CTTATGGCTGCGTTTTTGTTATATATGGGAGGAACTAAATGCCATTGCATTAAATTAATTTTCTAAAGAGTTGGAGGATAAAGTCTCTCTAAGAGCATCCATAATGGTTTACACTTTTGTGAGGATAATGTCATAAATTTTCAATATTATATTTTTATTCTGATTTTCACTATATTGGTTTACATTGTAAAAGTGTAATAAAATTAAATAGTTTTAGTATTATCATAAATTCACATTTATTACATTTCAACACCAAAAAGCGTATTTTGCGATGTAAGAATTCTGACACCATATAATATTATTACACTCAATATAATGATAAATAATATAATAAAATAGTTATTTAATTATTATTTACTATCATTGTGGATGCTCTAAATATATAAATCTAGGACGAGGAGAAACCATGATTCCTAAATTGCAATATTCTATGGCGAGATTGATGAAGATGATTCAAGAAAATGGAATAATTTTAATCGGGAAAAAATGGAGATGGATTCACTTGAAGAAATTTTAGATGTGTTCATATCGACTCACCGCAAGTTGTAAAGAAACACACAAGTTTCGAGATTTTCTGAATAAAAAGAAATTAAACTTTCATTTTGAAACCACAACAATAGCATTATAACTATTTGTAAGTTGCGTTTTTATGATTGTATCTTACTTTTATTGATTCGACCATAAACGATTTTTAGTATATTAATGAATTTATCTTTTATTTCTAAAAAAATGGAGAAATCAAAATTTAATAACACATAATAATTATATGTTACGTAATTAGTTTGGCATATCAAACGTCGATGTGAATTGTTTCTCTTCCCAACGCATGAAATTAATCAGCAATCATGTGCACCAGCAAAAAGACTAATTAATTAGTTAGTTGAGTTACCATATCTTCAAAAGTGATTCTTAAAAGAAACAAAATTACCATGCATGAAAAATTATTTAAGTCAATTTAAATAATATTTTTCAAACATTAAAAATTATATGACCAGATTTTTATTCACATTTAACGGCATAGAGTTCACAATTTGAAATAAAGAAAATAACAAATTTGGATTTGGAGGCAAGCTAAAATATTATATATATGTTCAATTAATATTTCATTTTTAGTTTGGCTCATAAACTAGCATTAATCGAAAGTAAAAAAAAATGAAGAAAAACATTTAGGAGGTGCCTGGATCGTAGGTATGAAAATAGTGAGAGATGATTGAAATGGGGTTTGATAGTATCCTAATTTCTATGTCAATTTCTAGTGAACTATCATTCCCATGTCTAGTGCTTGGTAACATAAGATTTTGGAATGAAAATTAACCAGAAATGTCATCTTTAGCCCTAACAGAAAATCACCAATAGGCACAAATCAAACCAGTCATAATTTTTCAAATTAAAAAGTAGGTGACAATGGCGATGTATAGATCCTTTTCTATCCAAGTTTTCATTGTGTTTAACTTCTTGAGAATAGATTTAGAGGAAAGTCGATATTGAGGCCGTTCCGTCTAAAATTTGCGGCATAAGAAGAATTGATGAAAGGGGTGACTCGAAAAATGGTGAATTTGGTTGACACTGGGGAGTTAGAAATGGATAGTGAGCCTTCCGGATAACCAAATCTGGGCAGCTTCCCATGGTTGTGGTGTCATGGTTACAAAATCAAGAGAGGGAGAAGAATATCAAGAAGAAGGTAGGATATATACTTCAAAATTCTCAATAGGATAAGATGGATTTGAACTAGTTCTGAATTTTGGTGGTTATGGTGGAAGTGGAGGAGAAGCATCGTGGCTGTGGTGGCTATGGTGGAAGAAGGAGAAACATGGTGGCTATGGAGGAAGTAGAGGAGTTGGACGAAAAAGTCGTTGCGAGGAGAAGAAGATAAGGGTAAATAATTGGAAAAAATAAAATTTTTATTGCTTAAATTCAAACCCACCCAAATAGATGGGAATGGAAAATTGAAATGTAGAGGAATTGAAAACCAACACAGTAGGCCATTGTTATTTCACATTATTGAACCAAGCAACAAAAATAGATTTCAAACCCATAACCTAGATATGAGACCCACTAAACAACCACTAAACAAGCACCTCCTTAGTATGAGGCCAATGTGAAAGTTACGTAATTTTTGGGAAGTTTGAGGATTTGATAATATCGTTCCATATATATAAAAACATTACTTTGTATTTATTAGTTTCCTTAATCAAATTCAATTTAGGAATAAAAGTTGAAATGCTCAAAGTTGACTAATATTGCCAAAAATGCAAGAACATAATAATAATAATAATAATAATAATAAATAAATAAATAAATAAAATACTGAGATTTTTGTTCCTTTTTTTGAGACTCAAGGGAGGGAGAAACGTGGACAAATTAAGGCAAATGGAATAATTTTAATTGGCAGGGGTACTAATGCCAACGTAGTCCTGCCCTTGCGTTAAATGGTGTTGAATAGATACTGTTTGAGTAATAAAGAAACAAGAGGAGCACGTCAAAGTCACGTGGGACTAACCAAAAGAAATAACATAGACAAAATAAGTTTTGTATCGAGTAAAAAAGAGATTAAACATTCATCTAGATGTCATATGTTCATGGTAGCCAAGTGTATCAATCCAAATAAGTTTAAGACTAATGGGAAAATTGAAATTAAAAAGAACGAAATAGCTATCTATCACATAATGATTTTTCGTCCCAAATGCATAAAATCAACAACCATATGCACCTGCAAACAAAAAATAATAAAATTAGAAATAAAATTAGTTGAATTAATTTATCTTTAAAATTGATTACTAAAAGAGACAAAAATAATATGTATGCCAAAACCCAAAAAAAAATTGAATAAAGAAAGCAAGAGAAATTAGTATTACATTGGAAATTCAAAATTAAAAGTTAATTAATTGTTGAAAACAAAAACAAACTGTGCAAAACCAAGGGAAGTAGTACATCAATTTTACCTTTATCAAACTCAGGCACTGTCCAAAGCTTCTTTTTCCTCTTCATCATCATCAATTCCTTTTGGCACTTCCATGTTTTCAGGCTTAGCATCCAATAGAACCAACTGCCAATCATCAGCAAAAAGTCCACATTCTCTAATACCTCAATCTAATTATTACCAAATGCTCTACTATTATTGTTACACACATCATGCAAACCTAATTCTAACTTTCCATCATCAACAATTGTGTGAATGACAGCAATTTCATCGTTTGCGGTAATCAATGACGAAAAATGGACAAACCTATCGAGCACAACATCAAACTCTTTGGTCCAAGATGCTTCATTCTCATATTCCTCCATCACAAACAACAAACAATGTTGTAGGTTGGCGGGATTAGGGTATGCATGGGTGGAAGTGAAAGTTTACCTTTGTAAATAGTGACCTCATCCATCTCGGACTCTTCAAAGTTGTAATAAGCATGCAACTTTATTTCCCCGAACACTTCATTTACAAGATGGAATGAAAGAATCACGGGCTCGTTATCATTGCTATCCCCATCCACGCGAGATGCAATCCAATGGACAGAGTTGTTGACGAAAGCCCCAGATATAGACTCACACAAATACCATGGGAAAACGGGTAATTCGATCTTTTCCCATATATCTTCCGAGTGAAAATATCTCAATAAATGGGACAGTGTTTTCTTTTGACAATTTTGTCTTGGGGCAGCACTACTACCGGCAAGAATCATATCACTGTGAAGAAACTCATTCTCTTCATCCTCCACATAAAGGATTTGGACAATCTAATGATCATCCTTTTGTGATACGTAACCAAACCCGAGAACCAAATGCCTAGAATCATTAAATGTAAATTTCTCCAAACCAATAGTTGATATTGTAATACTCAAGGATTTTCTAATAAATGGGCTCCATAAATGGATTATGTCCCCACGACTCTCGGTATCGATTATAAACACAAAACCCACAGAAGCAGAAACTATCTGGTAGCAGTCACTATAAATGACATTTGGGATTCTCTTCATGGTTGAGAAATTAGTAGGTTTTCATAAGAAAGTAGATAGAAAGGTTTTTCAGGTTCATCAAACATGAAATTAGGATCAAATAACATGAACTTGTTACCTTCTTTTAGTGCTGCTACGAAATGGCGCTTGATGAATTCACTTGATGATATCAAAGAATAAAATTTCTTGGATACACACACCATGCACATCAAAGCCTTGATCGGCAAGACCATTAATATTGCCACAATGATCTCAAGCAGAAGATTCTAGAACATGCTCCACTCCATTATTGAGTTATTGATGTATAACTTCTTCTTTTTGTTTTTCTTTTACTCTCTTTTATATTTGAAGGTTGAAAAGAATACTTACAATTTGTCATGTATTATGGAGATGTATTTATACATAAAAACATTTATTACAATATACAAATGGCATAGTCAACATTTAATTTACCAATCACGTAAAGGACCAAGATAAAAGGACCAAGAAAAATATTTCTTCGTCTCTGTGGTGCGTTCGTCGCGTCTACGATGGTAGGAAGATGATAAAGAGAGAAAAAGCTACAACAACCCAAGGAGGAGGGTGTGCTTTCAAAGGAAGTTCGTCGTTCTCCATTTCCAAACAAGGTTAGTGATTCAAGTTCTAAAATTGAAGATGTACAAACTGGTGTCTGTGTCAATTTGTTGGAGAAGCTATTCCATAGCAAGATAGTGCAGATTGGGGATGGCTCTAGCAGTAAAAAGTCGATTGATATTCATTCCAGTGATGAAATTAGGATTAATCAGGAGCTTGGAGTTTGGAGGAAAATAAACCGTAATTTTACTCAGGGATTAGATAAAAAAAATTGGAATACATTGAGTCTATAAAAGTGCATGATAGAGCAATTGCTAAGGTGCAGAAAGATGAGATGCAGGAAGCCCTAAGTTTTCGGAATACTTCGATACTCTGTTATATACTGGGATCTAATCCCCCTTTCTTTGTAATCAATGGATATCTGCAAAGAATTTGGGGGAAATTGGGCAGCTAAACAGGATTATCAGGTTTATATCTATGGCAGCTAAACAGGAAGTCCTCAAAAAGAATGTTTTTCATTTTTATCATCGTCCTTTAATAGTGAAAGATTGGTCCGTAGAGGAGGGCTTTAAACTGGAAGATGTCAAGATCCAGTGTGCGTTCAACTGCCTAAACTTTAGCTTAAGTACTGGTGAGCTAAAACGTTGAGTAGAATTACAAGTGTGTTGGGCAAGCCGTTAGAAATGGATGAGATGACTACAATGAGGAATAGAGTTGCATTTGCAAGGGTTTTGGTAGAAATGAAAATTACATATCACATGCCTGATACTGTCTGGTTTGAAGATGAGAATGGCATTCTTCAAGAGCAGAAAGTCAAATATGAATGACTTCCAGTCAAATGTGGGAACTGTGCAGGATATGGGTATGAAACCACAGTTTGCAGGAAACCTACTCAGAAAGCATGGAAGCAGGAGAGCTCTCCTGCTATACAGAAGGGAGCCAGTCTTGAGAAGAGTATGGTTGGTGGTGAAGAACCAAATGGAAAGAAACAGAAAGAAAACACTGCTGCATCAGCACAGATATCAGGAGAGATTAATGAAGGAGGAAACAGTGGAAGGAAACTACCAATTGCACTCAGTAATACTCGAAAGGAAAGGAAGTAGGGCCTAGTAAGGAAATATCAAAAAGGTGCAGATATACGCACAATTAGGCATAAGCAATGAAGAAGAGCATTAAATCACGAAGCTGGTCACCCTGATCCAGGGCCTAGCAATCATGACAAATCTACTTAGCTGGAATGTAAGAGAGTTGAACAACCACTACAAAAAAAAAAAAAACAACATTTTAACTTAGAAGTTTGAGATGCATGAAAATGCATCCTGTAGGTGACCGTCCCAATAAATATTCGGGACGCATATAAGTGTCTCGTTAAATTATGTGTCCCAATAAATGTAGATCCAATAATTTAACGATTTAAAATTTTAAGACCATGTTATGCGCCCTAATAGATGCTTTTCTGACACTTAGAAGTGTCCAGATCATTTTAAAAATTTAAGACCATTTTATGCGTCCTAATATATACTTTTCTATGAGGACACTTAGAAATGTCCTGGATCATTACAGATTTATTAGGACGCTTAAAAGAGACCTTACATTCGTCTCAATATTCTAATTTATTTGCATATAATATAAAACATGGAAATGGAAAACCAATTCCATCTAGAATTCCAATTCAACCAACCAAACTTGGAATTACTTGAAAGTTGAAACAAACAATAACCAAAACCATCAAATGCTTTCAAACCAAATTATACAACAAAAATCATTGCCAATAATCTTCATTATTATAACAAAATGTCAATGATAGTACAATAATTTCTCATCCAATTTTAATGAGAATCTGTAAAATTGAAACTTCTTATCTAAATTACTGAAATAAAAACAAAGTACACTTGATCTACTAAAGTGAATATAATAAACTCTATGCCAAAATCAAAGTCATCATTAAGCATCCTCATTGATCACCTAAATTCAAAAGAATGACAATGATATAGCCAAGTAAACGCAAGAGCATTTGATCATCACGAGTTACACACAATACAAATGTTGACCAGCAGATTCCGGTCACCAAAGGCCTGGTGAAGTGATTCATGAAGACACTAATGCAGCCTGGAACATACAGATTTCCAAAAGCATGACAAAATTAGATGAGTATTAAACATCAAAATCCCAAGTGTAGTGATTCAATACATGACAAAGGCCAAATACCAGTAAGGGTACTTCCAAGACAAATTCATAAAGATACAGCAACCAATTTTAGCACATGATAAGCAATGAACAAAAAAGTATACGCTCAAGTTAATCATCAAGCACTTTTGGAAGGTGAAATGGTTAGCCCAAAATCAGATTATATTAAAATTGATGAAATAATCATCAAACAAATACAGAAAATGATTTCTTTTTGTTGTCTTCGCAACCTAGGCAATACAAAGTTGACAACTTGATGCTGCCACAACGTAAACGAGTTCTTCATTGTTGTCTCAACCAGCACAAGTAACAAACCTAGTGGTCATTAGCTAATAAATCCAACACCCACCCACCCCCCAAAAAAAAAAAAGAAAAAATACCTGAAAAATTTAATAAACACAATCATGTGCAATGGGACAACAATTTTTTTTTTTCTTTTTGTAAAGCAAACATTTTTAATCATCACACAACAAACACTTTGAAATGCAACCATTATAATGGTAATAGAAAATTATATACATATGTATAAATGATTCATATATAGAATCAACAGTAGCTTATTCGATCATTGAATTTGGAGCAAAATTATCTATTATTACAACTAAAATCACCTGAATTGAATTGCTAGGGTGGAGAGCGTCAAGGTCAACAACTTTAGAGATAAGACGGACACCCCATTATAGGGTGCTATAGTATTATTACATGAAAAACAAATTTTCAAGATCTTATTTCTTGGTAATTGGTGAAATTTTTTCGTACATACATTTCAAAAAAAATTTGGACCATATAAAACTTACCTTTCATAAAGAAACTATTTACTCACTATTAATTTATATAGTGTTAAATGCTTTTCAATATTGAAACTTTAAAATAAGTATTATTACTATTACCACTCTAAACGCAAAGCAAACTAGTACGTACTATTACTTAGTGTTACAATCCAACTGGGTAGACATGATTTACCATTCTTCCTTTATATACTTTGTAACGTCAATAATCAGTAGTGCATTAATTGGTAAAAAAGTAAAGGTTTATATGTTAATTATATATAATAAGACCACTAAATCATATATATTATCAACCACTAATTTGGAACTTACAACTCTTATTGTGTAAGTAATGGCAAAGAAAAAGGTAAACTGTAGAATACTATTCATGTATAAATACCTTCATTATATAGATTGGAGTTGGAAACCGTATATTATTAGTGTGGATCGTATATAATTACAGAGAAAATTGATGGCATGATTAATTGCAGATATAATTTATTAAATATTATTAATGTTAGTGGTATAAGTAAATAGATTGGACTAATATTATAGATTAGAGTTTGAAAATCGTATACTATTGTACTTCTTTTGTTCTACAAAAGAATTGGCATTGTCTTTTGTAAATTTTAGTAAATATATTACAATTTATAATTTCTAATGTGATCTATTTTTGTGAGAAAAAAGAAGTACTAAAATAGTATAAGAACATGGCCATCATTATGAGACAAAGAATATTTGGATTTAATTTATCGGTACAATATCACACATATTATACTGCATTAAATAACAATACATAGATTACAAATTTAGTTTCATCTATAAAATAATTATTCACAATGTTTTAGAAATGTATAAATTCTTCTAGAAGTGACACTCTATAATTTATGGATTTACCCTCATAGGGCTTAGTTAGTTGATAGTATTAGCCTTCTTAAGGGTTTTTTTTTTTTTTTTGGTAAACCTTCTTAAGGTTTTCAATATATTACTATGACACCCTAGGGGTAAATCCATAAATTATAGGGTGACCCAATATAGAAGTTAATGAGACGGTTTTAAGTGTCCAAGTGTTTATTGGGACACATTATATTAGAACACATAAAAGTCGTCCCAACATATTAACTAATGGGATGATTTTAAGTGTCCAAGTGTTTATTGGGACACATTGTATTAGAACACATAAAAACATCCCAACATATTAACTAACGGGATGGTTTTAAGCATCCAACCATTTATTAGGACACTTTGTGCTAGGACACATAAAAGTGTTATGTTAAATTGATTTAATAGGACGCTTTTATAGTAGTGTCCCAATATATATTTATAGGGACACTTAACATGTAAGTGTCCCCAAAAGAGCGTCCTAATAGGAGGCTTTTGTTGTAGTGAACCCTCTAAAACATAGGGAGATAGAAAACTATCTCTCTATAAATAACGTAAGTATAGCTGCGCTGCTTGAAACTAAATTAAATGAAGGCAAGGTAAAGGAGTTGATGGAGAAAAAGTGGACCCATTATAGGTATATCAGCAATCATAGAAGTACTGAGAAAGGTAGAATACTTCTGATATGGAAAGAGAAAGAGTATCAGGTTACTATGCTGCATAAGGATCAACAATTCATCCATTGTCATGTTAAGAAGGTAATTAGTGGAGTAGAATTTATACTTACAACTGTTTTTGCTGATCATCAATCACAGGGACGTACTCAGTTGTGGGATTATCTATTAAGTCGAGTTGGTCAAATTGTTCAGCCTTGCTTATAATAGGTGATTTTAATAGCATTCTACTACCAGAAGAGAGGATGGGAGGATCTACAAGCTTAAGTCAGGAGACTGGATTGTATCAGATGGTATTAGATAACTGTGATCCGTTGGAAATGAAGACTGTGAGTAATCACTTCACTTGGAGTAATAAGCAGTTGGGCAGCCAAAGAATTTCGTGCAAACTTGATAGAGCTCTTATAATTGAAGCTTGGCTTGAGGCTTTTCCAGATGCAATAGCAGTGGGGTTATCTCCTTGTATCTTAGACCACAACCCAATCCTTATGAAATGGAAGCATGAGGAACTAGCTTGGAAGAAGCAGTTTAGGTTCTTCAACTTGTGAAACTACCACCCTGAATTTGCAGAGATAGTGAAGACGGTTTGGTGCAAGAAGATTGTGGGTACCTTTTAGTATCAGTTTTTCTTGAAACAACAACTCCTAAAGCCTAGATTAAGCGAATTCAACAGGAAGCATTTTAAAAATTGAGTATAGAGCCCAGCAGATAAAGGATGAGCTAAAATCAATCCAGCAGCAGTTAGATAAAGACTCTCAAAATGCAGACTTACAACAAAAGAAAAAGGATTTCTGGGGCAATATATGTTAGCTAGCAAGGCAGTGCTTAGTTATTGGCAGCAGAAGCTCAAAGATCAGTAGACTAATGAGGGAGGCATCAATTCAAGGTTCTTTCATTCCACCCTCAAATAGAGAAGGATGGGAACATGATTATGTCCTTCATCAATCAGCAAGGAGAGTTGGTTGACCAATGGGAACAGGTACAAAGCCACTTCATTAATTACTTTGAAACACTGTTAGGCACAAGGGTTTCTAGAACTCCGGCAAATTGTGAAATTTTTAATTCAGGAATTAAACTATCCGTATACCAGCAGATTCTCCTGATTAAAAATTTAACATTTCCTCATGCAAAAGAAACCGTTTTTGGTATTAATCCTAAAAATGTGTTGGCCCCGATGGCTTTAATAGTGGCTTTTATAGAGAAGCCTGGAATATAGTTGGGGGGGAATTTAAGTAGAGATGTTCTTGAATTTTTTAGTTCAGGAAAAATATTAAAGCAGTATAATTGCTACTTTAGTGCCACTGATCCCAAAAGCCAAAGTGTTGAAAGATGCTACGGAGTCTAGGCCAATAGCATGTTGTAAAACGATCTATAGGATAATATCTAAAATGCTTAGTAAAAGACTTAGTCTTGTACTGCCAAATATTGTTGACTTAAACCAAGGAGCTTTTGTCAAGAATAGGTCCATTTTGCATAATGTGATGTTAACTTAGGAATTGATTAGGCTTTATAGAAGGAAAATAGTTAGACCTACCTGTTTAAAGAAAGTTGACTTAACGAAAGCCTTTGATTCGATTCACTAGGATTTTCTAG